GTTTTGTCGGGCGTTCAACGCTCTATGAACGCTCTACAAAACGTACAACCATGAAAATCCCATTGTTTTCTATGGGCTTGTTCACACCTTTCCGTATTTCCGCCCGTCTCAACGCCCTACAAAACGGCTGACGCCCAAACAAGTACATGTACTTCTTTGGGCCGTTTTGGAGGGCGTTTTCCATTGGTATACAGCCAAGCAGCCTTCGGGGTCGCGCGATTTTTTTTTTTTACCGCGAATCGCGGTAAAAAAAACCACGTGACGGTCGCGCGACAGACGTGCATACGTAAACCGCCTAGGTGTGAACCCAGTGTCATGCAGGGGTAGCCGTACTTCAGCCCTCCAGCTGTGGAACAACTACAAAGGCCATCATGCATCTGCCTCTGAAGTCATGCCTGTGGCTGTCAGTCTTGCAATGCCTAATGGGTGTAATTTCACCGCAGCCTGGCAGCCGAAGTTTGGCCACCCCTGCAATAAAGTATGTAGCATGAGTTTAACCTGTAGCTGCAATAAATTGTTCATTAGTGACTAAAATAAATTTGTCGCTAGCTAAAAATCATTGGTATTGGCAATTTGTGAGACGCTCACAAGACAGAGTGCTCTACCTCCTTCTTCCAATGCAGTTTCACGGAACACCAGTGCACAACCAAGGCTTCCAAGTTCCCTTCCTCATATACAGTAGAAAAAAAATATTTGCACACTGTTCCTGATCCAGTAAAGAATCTTCTTTATTTATTCAAGGTATGAGACCAGACATAGCAATTTCAGCCACAAACACATTTGCAGTATTGCCATGTCTGGTCTCATGCCTTGAATAAATATTTTTACTGGTTCTGGAACCGTGTGCAAACACTTCATTCTACCGTTAGCAATTAGTAGCAATGCTTAATTACTGATACAAATTTATCTCTCACATTTGTAACATGTTTTGTGATTAATTTGTGTTTGTAGCAATTAAATGGGAGAGATTTTAGAAACTTGACTACTAAAATCTCCTGTATAGCTCTAGCTTATTAAACTGACTGCCAGCAAATGGGTAAATTGGACAGTAGAAATGTTAAAATTGGTTATGTATATCGATCATTCGTATGTGAATAGAGCATTGTGCGAGACAGATTGCTACTACATGCTCCATATGAAGGTTACTCCTTAAGCTGGCGACACACCAGTAGAATTTCACTTATTAAACATTCCCTCAATCATCAGTTAATGAGCTTAAATTGATAATCATTTTTAACCATAGTAACAAAAAAAAGGAGCAGGATGGAAATGTTTTTCTTGAATGATAGACATTCTAACAGTGAATGTGCTATTAGTTTGGGAAACTCCATTCATTCTAAAATTGAAATGGTAATGCCAAACAAAATGACAAAAGATACTCTGCTAATCTATGATGGTGTTATCCAGTGTTCTTTCATATGGAGATCTACCAGTGTATACCCAGCTTTAGGAAGCCGCTTGTTCTATTAATCCCTGGCTAAAGTAGCAGGATTGAGCTACTAAAAATGTCCTGTGCAACTGTAGCCTATTCAGGTGACAGAGCAAGTTACATCCCCTGGTTGAAAGATTAAAATTATCTATGTAACTCTTAAACTACGGATGCACCATTACCGATATCAGTGCTGATACTGGACATTTTCACAAGTATTCAAGAAAAAGGCCCCGATACCGGCACTTTACATTTTTAAGTTGAAGCGGCTGCCTGAGGATCCACACTTGCTGGGGAGCTAGGCAGTCTTCCTGCAAACTGCAGCCCTCTTTACAGCACCTGCGCACATCTCCTCTTCCTTCCCAGGAACTATGCAGTGCTGCTTACAGCGCTTCTGCCGCCTGCGAGACCATCTGGACACCTGGTGAGACCCCACACAGCCCACTTGAGGCCCTGGAAGAATCAGGCCACCACCCCAGAGCAACAGTATGTAGCTTCATATTTTTCTGCCTTGCTATATAATGTATTGCTGAGATTTGTAGTCCTCTCTAGCTGGTGGTAGTCTACATTGGTGTAAAATGTATTGCTAAGCTTTGTAGTCCCTCTACAGCTTGGAGTCAGCAGCAAAACTACCAGAAACGCAGCAGTTGCAGCTGCGACTAGGCCTTGGTGCACCACCACTGTCTTAAAATCATGAATCTGTATTGTTTTAGAAAACTGTCACATGACACACACACACAAAAAAAAAAGAAATGTGGTAATTGGTATCTGTGAGTACTTGAGGAAAGGGATCGTTACTCGGTCTTGAAAAAAATTGTATCGGTGCATCCCTAACTTAGAAGAGAACTATAGAGTGAGTGAAGTATACTCATCCCCCATAGTTAGAGCTGACGTGTTACATTGAAACAGTCACACATTGGCTCTATTGATCGGAAAGTCAGGAAACGCATACCGCTACTTGCTCACTTTCATCTCCGTCACTCACCACTCTTTACAGGGATTAGCCCCCTCCCCTCTCCAATGCTGACTGGAGCAACGGATAGGGCAGGCATAGCTGGCTCTGCCTCTAGATAGGCAGAGCCTGCCATCAATCATCTAGCTGGGTGGATCTCATCAGTTTTGTTGGTATCTGTCCCAGCTGCGGCGCTGTCCGCATATAGCGGCAATAGCCCGCTATATACAGACGTCCTCCCGTGACCCTAAAGAGCACTATGGAGAAAAAAAAAAGTTACACCATAATTCTCCTTTAAATTGTCTAACTGGCAGTACATAAGGCAAGCAAAAAAAAAATGTGACTTGCATAAAAGAAGCCTACAGCCAAGCCTGGCTGTATACACATGAATCACATGGAGGCAACAGAAGTGGGTACATACTGTATAGTCATATCCTTACAAACCTCCCATTCGTCTCAGGGAAGGACAGGGGACATTTAGGCTGGGGGGGGGCAAACACAATCAACTAGCTCTTTAATGGTAGCGAGCGCCCCCTGGTCTAAAGAACATGCAGTGTGCTGCGATGACCAATGGCCACAGTGATAGGTTGATGTGGTCTTAAAGAACATGATTTATTTATCACACCTTTTTACATACAAATGTGTGTGTATGGGACAAAAGTGATACAAGTCCAATATAAGCTTAACAAGATGACTGTTCTGTAAAAATGACATGAAGTCACCTAAATAAAATACAAATACTGGCGAGATGAATTGGTTTACTCTCCCCACATGATCTCCCCTGTCCATTCACAGAACATCCTGTATTATGTGTAAAAAAAAAACAATACAAGACTTTTGTGAATGCCCAAAGTGCCAAGTGAGTGACAAACTTCTCTGTGCTAGAGCCAAATCTAACTCTGCACTAGAAGTTCAGCACTTACAGAAGGGTTGGGGGTACATAAAAATGATCGTTTTATCTAATGCAGCAGCCACATACAGATGGAACAGCCAACAATTTGTGGCAATACAGCCAAAAAAAAAAATTTTTTCCTGGACTTCCTTTTCCACTCTAACAAATACAATGTAATGAGAGGGTCCTAAATAAACATTCCAGTCAATTCATATACAGTAAGGCAAGACCTACATAGTTGGTAAATAAAAATGAGATTGTACAATCAGTTTGTGGCCAGCTTAAAATACTGGACACCAATCAGACCTTTCGCAGATCACAAACTAAGCAGTGCTGGAGCTGAAAGATCTTTTCCTCTATTCCAGAAGCAGTCATTTTTTGTTTAAGCAGAAATTTGAGGGCCATGTAAAAACAAAAAAATGGCCATTTCAAACTTTATAGCAAGTCCCACAGTGTATCTGGAATTAGCATTAAGGGTACATAAGCCAATTATGTGTGTTCCACTGATCTACGAGAGCACCCTTATTTGCCTTTAAGGGACTCTCACTGGTCTGGGATGGGTGTGGAGTCAAGGGGTTAGCTCTATATTGAGGAAAGTGGTGCAAACAATGGTCATTGTAGACATTTGGAAACCATTCACACCAGGGCGGCTGCGGATCAGCGCTGTTTCCACGCTGATTTAAAAAAGGGTGGTTTTGGGAGTTTTTAATTGCGTATACAGCTCAGCTGTATGGAAACCGCAAAAATAGCGCAGGGAGCAGTTTGGATCACGCTGAGCCGCAATGTTTGGGAACATTCCTGTCCGCGCGACCGAACCGCCCCGGTGTGAACTGGGCCTATGTGTTGTCTGACTGCTTTTATGAAGGACGTTTACCCTACTGAAAGGTTAAAAATGGCTCCCTTTAAATAGGGACACTGGCGGAATTACCAGGGTCACAGCGGTCGCAATTGCGACCGGGCCCCGGCGACCCCCCCCCCCCCGAGATCGTGCCGCTTCTTCCCTGCCGCTCTGCCACCCGCAGCATTTACGGGTAGCTGTGCAACAGTGCTGGAGAGGCTGTCACCAGTCCCGCAGAATGTGCAGACCATGCATGGTATATTATTACCGGTCACAATTAACCATTACAAACAAATACTTTGTAAATAAATGCCGGTTTCCTCGTTAATCGCGTCTGTACGTAAGCGCAGATACTGGGTCGGAGTTCGACATAGGAGCAGGGAGGGAATCCCTGCGGGGAGCGGTGACTGACAGTCACGGCTCTGTCAGGAGATGATCGAGAAGTGAGCAAGGGACAGTATGTGTTCACTCACTTCCCGATCTATTGAGCCAATGTGTGAGTTTCATTGTCATACGTCGGCTCGAACTGAGGTTGAGTGAAAATCGCTCACCTTTAACCTTCTCGGCGGTATTCCCGAGTGTGGCTCGGGGTTAATTTTCAGTACCAAAAGCGGTAGCCCCGAGCCACGCTCGGGATTACACAGCGCTTCACTTACCTTCTCTCTAGCTGTGTCCTCTGGCCGATGCCGGCATCCGTCTTCCGGGATCCGTCCCTTGTGAGCGGCCACGTCGCAGGGGGGCGGAACCAGCGGAAGCAAAAAATATTGGGAAAAATCAGACCGCCAGGGAGGTTAAGCACACATCTATGTGGATAAAGTTTTGAAAGCAAAAACAAAAGCGTTGCTTAGAAAGGGATAAGTAAAATATAATTCTACATTCTTGTTGTTTAAGACAGTTTAATATTAACAATTATTTAAAACTCATAGGATCACATCAAAATCACACAATAACCCCCAGTGGTCACTGGGAAATCGACCACAGTCCAGTTTTTCAGTGCCAAGCAAATCCAAAGACTGAGGAATGACTTGGCCGCCATCTAGAGCAGAGCGGTACAGTATTCGGTCAAAACGCAGCCTGCAGGTGTATGCAACCTTCAAGTTGTTGTTCATTTTTGTGTCCCATGTATAACGGCAATGTTCAGGCTTCCCCAGAAATTCCCAAATGTCCATGATGGGGCTGGGCAGGCCGCCTATCTTTTCAACCTGTCAATGAAACAAGATTATGTCTCTGGTCAGTGTAAAGTGTCTATATGAAAGCATCTCCAGTCATTTTCTTTGGAATTTAGAGCGGGGAATGGTTAGAACCAGCTAGGTTTTCATTGATGTGTCCCCTTTGAGATCTCTTCTCCCTTCCTGTCACCGGGTCAAAAGAGAGAGTAAATCCCTCAAACCCAAACCAGGGAACAGCATTACATTTGGAGGACTGCTTTATATTGAGGAACAATTTTCCCCAAGGTGACCACAGATAATCAAAATCTAAAATAAGCTCTAAACATTTCCTTACACTATCCACGGTCTTGTGTGGAGTTATTCTTCATATGATACAGTTTGATGACAGTTTGGCGTTCAAAAGATACCCTTTACAAATGTTCTGCAATAACTGATGGCCAACAGGGTACAAGACTCTACTACTGCTATAATGTATATTATATACTAGCTAAATGTAACGGTCTAAACAATGGTTTGCAAGTTACAAATGTGTGCATTTAAAATGGCTTTTCTCTTTATAGCAGAGACTGACCCCTACATATAAAGCTTGTTCCTTCCCATAACTTAACTACGCAACATTGGGATCTAAAACCTGCTTTCATGCAGATATTGGTGGTCCAAAACCATACACTAAAATAGAAGATATATGGCATAGTAATAATCTACATAAACAGGTTATCTGCAATACCAAGTTTTGCTGCATATGATTCACTTTACCTACAGAGGGAGAAGCAATTTAAAGGGAACTTGTCAAGACAGAAATATAGGAGCAGCCGTTGCTGGTTTGTTTTTAATGGTGTAAGCTCAAGGGTTCACATACTAATGCTTTAGTCACTACCTAGTGAGTATCTACCCTGAAACAAGCGCTAGAACCAGCATGTGTGTATCAGCAGTCAGAGCACCTAATGTGCACATGCTGGTTGCAGGTCACTGACTCAGCAAGCATTGTAGATGGATATGACAGCCCAGAGTTAGCACCTTAAACAGCAACTCAATAATGGCATCTTCCATATTTCTATCATAAAATTCCTTTGAAGATGAATAAGCCACAATGTGTAAATGTGTTTAATTAAATCCTCTAAGGACCATATGTAGGTCAGGGTTTTATCACACACACAATGATGCTGCATAGTGAACTAAACCTGAATATTTTACTGGCAGACTACATATATCCAAGGAGTAAATCTCACAGCACAGACTGGCTGAACGGTACTGCTGGGATTAGAGAAACTGTATTCTTTTTTCTTTTCAGCTGGCTTTGAAGCTGAACTCCACGCAGATATGAAAATTAATTTGTAAGAGCACTTGAACATGACTATTTCAGCCTCTTGTACTCCTTTCTTACACCAGCACTTAGACTGGGAAAGGGAGGGCCAATGCCTAGGTCCAATCATTAGTCCTGCATTGTCATGTGCAGACAAGATCAGAGAGTTGACCTCAGTCAGTTTATGATCCTTCACTATCCAATCATAAGCTGGGGCAGGGAGGCAACCCAATCCTCAGAACTTGACTGGACATAAATACACACAAACCTATTTGGTAACTTTTTTTAAAAAATTTTTTGCATAGATCTACTGCTTACTAGTTGAACATTAAATTGCATTTGCGCACATGTTCTTTACTCCCCATGTGCATAACCTTACATTTTCCAACATTAAATTACATTTGCTATCTTGTAGCCCATGCCTCAAGTCCTGTTGTAGTGCGAATATCTCCCGTTCGGAATTTAATATTCTAGAGTTTAGCATCATCTTCAAAAACCGAAATCAAACTATTTAGTCCAATCTCTATGTCATGGATAAATAAGATGAACAAGATCGGTTCCAGGACTGAACACTGGGGCACCACACTCCCAACCCTTGCCCAATTAGCAAATGACCCATTTATCACTACCCACTAGGTCTGTTCTTACAGACAATTTCCTCTAGACCTACAGACCTTAGTTTATGGGTTAAACATTTGTGGGGTACTGTGTCAAATGCTTTAGCAAAGTCCAGATACACCACGTCTACTGGTATTCCTTTGTCTAATTTAGTACTTCCTTCCTCATAAAATATTAATAGATTGGTCTTACAAGAACGGTCCTTCATTAAACCATCTTGGTTACCACAATACCAGTTTTATTTGTAAATTGCTGCATGTAGTCCCGTATCATGCCTTTGAATATTTTACACACTATTGATGTTAAGCTGACAGGCCAGTAGTCACCTGGTGCACTTTTTCCCTTTTTGAATATTGGTACTACATTTGTTCTCCTCCAATCAGCCGGGACCATACCTGTCATACTGTCCATAAACATTTTGTATAAGGGTTTGGCTATGACTTGACTAAGTTCCTTTAGTACCCTGGGATGTAACCTGTTTGCTTCTGGCAATTTGTTTACATTTATTCTTTCTAATCTCTGTATTACTGTGGCTAAAACTGGTACTACTATCTCTGCAGCTGATGCCCTGATCAATGATTTATTTTTTTAGTGGTAAACGGAATGCACTGGCCCCATTTCTCCTCTGTGTTCCTATTCAAGAATATTTCATCCCAATTTATGTCACATAATACACCTCTTAGTTTATTAAAATTAGCTTTTCTAAAAAGGAGTCTTGTATTACCTACAAGCCTGTGTTTTCCGTGATCATCATCCTGTGGTCACTGCTCCCTAGCTTGTCCCCAACTTCCACATTTGTAATTAATAAATCTAACACATTATTCCTTGTCTGGGTTTCCACCAGTTGTCCCATGAAATTATCCCGGAGAGTGTTCAAGAAGTGACGGGCTAGAGTTTGCCGTTTCATTTATCCAATCTATATCAGTATAATTAAAATCCCCCATTATGATGGCATTGCCTTTCTTTCCCACTATTTATATCTGTGACAGTATAGGAGTCTCCTTATCCTCCGTGTTTGGTGGCCTGTAGCAAATTATGATGACATTGCCTCCCCCCCCCCTATTTCTATCTGTAACAATATACGAGTCTCCTCCTCTGGTGGACTGTAGCATATTCCCACTAGTAGTTTCCCTTTCCTAACCTTAATTTCGGTCCACAGTAACTCAGCATTATCCCTGTTTTCCTGTGCTAGATCATCTTACATTCACTGTCAGGTCATTCTTGACATACAGGCATACTACTTCCCCCTCTTCCTTCCCTATAATGTAATACAAATGTACAGTATATATTATTGCGTTTATTTGGAATCAAGCAACCCATGTTTGAGGATTCCGTTTTGCCGTGTTCTTTTCTTACAGTCATTATCCCCTTGTCAGTATACTTTTGTTAAGGCTGCATTTACACCAGTAGCTGCGCTACAGCACAGCCGCTGGTTTGCGTTAGCAGTCACAGTGCCGATGCGCTGATCGCATCGCACTGGATACTTTTTTTTGGTAGGACTTTATTGAAATGTACAATTTTTTAAAGTTCTATAAGCACTATAAGCACATTGTGGTGTGATGCAGTTGTACCGCAGCGGTGTAAACTCAGCCCATCGGTGAATAGGCAAATTGCCTTGTCAAAAAAAATAAATAAAACAAAACGGCCAGCACAGCCTCAACAAATTTGGTGTGCATTTAGCCTTAAAACAGTACATTGTATTGTATAAGGTCATTCAACAGACAATTGAAACCCATAGATAGACAACATGAGTGTATACTATACTGACCTCTTGGTCTCTTAGGTTAGTATCACCAGCAAATATCACAGTAGTTGATGATGGAACCTCCAAAATCTTCTGCAGTACAACGCCCAGCTGCTTCAGCCGTTCCTTTGCATGCTCTTTGGTGCTTTCTAAGTGGGAAGTCATGAGGCAGATGTCATTGCCACAGAGTTTTACCTAGAAGGGAGCAGTAAGATGGGAGCAGCAGGAGTTTTCATTATACATGGAGGATGAATAATAGGAACACATTAGAGCAAATACAGAGAAGTCTATAGAACTGGCCAGATATATAGTAAATGAGGGGAGGAGGGGATAAACTGGAGTTTGGGATACTAGCCTATCATTGGCTAAACAATAGCTGAGCCAACAGGGAAACAATCAAAGATGCAATCATTTGAAAGGTCACATCCTTATATGTAGTGGCCAATAAAAAGAAAGGAATGTGAAGTAATTCTGCAAAGGCAGCAATATTGTAGAAATGCAACGTTTGTCCATAAATCTTTTCAGCATGTATACACAAGTGGAAGCACAAGAGGGTATTGCATTAAAGCACTGTGGTTCAGTTATGATTGATCGAAGTGGAAGTAGATTTCACAGGAAGTCTTTACCTTTGGGTTATACTGCCGTCTACAGGAGGATTGTACACTGGCAAACAAGGATAACCCCTCCTATCAAAATGTCGGGAGGATCAACATTCTCAGCTGATAAAAGCCTAACCTAATTTTTGGCTAGCATTTTTTTTTCTTTGATTTTTTTTTCTCTTCAACCAAGATTCTGCTCTACATCACTGCTTGAGCAGGTCTCTAAAATTGCAAACATCTGGGAGCAGCATTTTCTCATCCTAGATTAAGCATGTCATGTTTGGACCCCATTGGACTGCATGTTGCAGAGCTAGCCTAGTAGTTACTACTAGCACCCACTGGCATCTTTCAGGGCATTATATCTGGTAAGGCATGCAGCAAGACATCTTATTTCAGAAGGCAGCCTCTGCTCAGGGGCAGAGGAAATATAAATCTGCAGGGGGACTGACTGACAGGCAGGCTAGAACTACAGATGCCGCTAATTCTGTTGTCCACAACTGCCTACTGCTCCACAGCCTCTCTGCCATTAGAAATTTTCTTTTCCCAAGTGCCCCCAACAGTACTGCCCGAGTTTGGGAACCGCTTCTCTATGCGGGTCAGCACACCCCAATGGGTCCTGGATATCCCGAGTGCTTGCTGGATTTGTTTCTGTTTGGCAAGGATTTTTTTAAACAGTGGTCTATACGTGCTGTGTATATGCCAGTGACCCACCTTTACACTAGACTAGTTGAGGGCATTCTTACATTTAAGGATTGTACTGCCCAGAAGTCGAAATCCCTCTTTCAGATGCAGTTCTTGCTGGAGGGCGCTGTCCTACACCCTATTCTGGCAAACCATGGTAGAATGGTCTAAATCTCTCAAAGAAGATTTCTCCACTGCGCTGTTGGATCCTTTCCTGATCGAGAAAGTGAAACCGATGTCTGAAGTCTTGCACTTCAGCTGTGATTGCCTGGAAGAATCTAGACTTCCATGTAGCAATGCTAGAAGGCTTTCATCACCTGCAGGCAATATAAGCCAGAATAGTTTTTCAGTAGAAGGATCTAAAGCATTCTTGCTTTCAGGTCCCTTTCTCTTGGTCTACAGTCTATTCTCACATTACCTCTGTCCTTCCGAAGCACACTTCACAATATTGGATTCAGTAGTTTTATGTTGTTTTAAGAGCGTGCAAAATGTTGTGCATTGATATATTTGGTACCCATCTATTTCAATGCACTCATCTTTTATACTTTACCCCAAAAAATAGGATTTTATTATGTTTGTGTCTCATAACAAATTATGGAATATAAGGGGCAAGAAAAAAAAAAATCACCAGGAAGATTCATATGCAGTGATAATTTGGTAAATGTCCCATGTCCATACAGAAATACATACTAAAGCACACATACAAACAAAGAAACACCTACAGATAAACATACAGACAGGCAAACAGATGCACACATACTAACAGTAAAATGCTGGACTAGAGTAACAATGGGGTATCAGTTATAGGTTACAGTTGCAATGATTATGCAGTCACATGCGGTCTATTTGAACCTGGAAAAACTTCAGGCCTAGGACACTAAGCCACATGGATACCTGTATATAGTCTCGGTATGCAAGATGCATGTATGAAATGTATATATGCATATGTGAAAAATGTATTTTTATCTCACTAGGTAATTTTGCCAAGGTTATAACTTACATTAGCCACCAATAAATTCCTCATCATGGAAGTTGTTGGAAAAGGAACAATTTCTTGGTTTACTAGTATTGCTCTGGATTTTTTCAGCATTATGGCAGTGAAGTATCCATCTTCATTTCCTAAAAATGCATAATTTCAGTTAGGATTAAGATCACTGGATTTTTTCAGCATTATGGCAGTGAAGTATCCATCTTCATTTCCTAAAAATGCATAATTTCAGTTAGGATTAAGATCACTGGATTTTTTCAGCATTATGGCAGTGAAGTATCCATCTTCATTTCCTAAAAATGCATAATTTCAGTTAGGATTAAGATCACTAAAAAAAAACCCCAATCTTCTAGTTCACTTCACTAGCTCATGTAGTGACTAGGGAATTGGCCCTAAAGTGTAATACTCAGCACTTCTAGGTATGGCCGTATGATTTGCCTAGCAGTCACACGGGGACATGGAAGAACTCCATAGCTCAGTGTAAGCTCAAACATGTCAATTTGGAGCTTATGTAAACCGTTATTTTCCTGGTCCCGTGGAGTACCGGTATGTACTGCTGAAGGGGTACACCAGGTAAACATTTTACTTTGTCCTTTTTGGGCAAATAAAAGGATCCCTCAAATGGTGTCTGTTGGCTGTGCCACTAGGTAGGGGTATATGTATGTCACAAAAGTGGCTGGACAGAATTACAATTCCTTTAGCAGATAAGGGATTTTTGCACTCACTGGAAAACACTTTTCTGTGCACTCATTGAAGGACACAGTCGATTATAAGATCTTGATTGATGAGTTATATTTCCACCTGAAGGAGTAGAACGCAAGGCGCCCCTGATGTGTCCTTCAATGAACGGTACAGGAAAAACAACTCATATATATGTACTTCAACTGTAAATTTAGTTGTTTGCCAGGAATTTTAATCCTGTAGAATATGCCATGTAAGTTTTCCCTCCTGCTGAGAGGGTAACAGAAAATTAATAAACATGTTTCTTGGCTAAAGGTGTATAAGTTTTGTATAAGACTGAATTCCACAATACTACCAAACAAAAACCTACAGGTTGGTGAATAAATACCTGTAATGATTGTGTAGCTAACAGCTCTCTTCTTCAGATATTCATAATATGGAGGTATAACCTCTTGTAAAAACACAACATCGGGACTGTACCTGTGATAAGGCATAAGAAATGTAAAGTATAGTTAAACTCTACCTATATAAAGCAATCATGTACCCTATCCTTAGGAGGCTTCATCTCTATATCATTTTCAAAACAATGTATATATTTCATTAAAATCACAAGTCATACACATCTGTCTAGCTCCCTGCAGGCAGCTTTCATTATTTGTAGCCATGCCATAGACTTCAAGCCCCATGATATCCTGTGCCCAACAGCTCAAATGACTTGGGGCAGTATGTCAGACTGTAGCCCACAGTGGGAGCGTGTATCCAAGGATGACAAAGTTGCTCCTGCTTATGTAGCACAGCTCAGGAAGCATTGTCACCTTCAACAATAAGCACAAGTGAAGGCATTGGCTGGCAGACCAAGGCCATTACCAGGTTAAAAAGATTGGAAAGCAAAATAACATTCTAATCAAACATCCTCCAGGTGTCGGCAGAAAAATCATCATCTACAGCCAGGGCAATGTAGAAAAGCGAATTTAAAAAAAAACAGTAATTTCACAAGCAGATGCAGTTTCTGATTGTAAGATGCAGTATTGTAGGCTCCTGGCAGCTTCATATCCTACTAAGTGCCCAAAAGTCATTAAGCCACCAGCTTATTTTCTGATCATTATGTTTGAGACATGAAAGGACTGTTCTCAACAATCTGTTCAATTATCACGTCAGTGAATTGTTTTTAATAGTCTGTAAGAATATTTCTGTGAATGGAGCTGTACACTTCTGGTATGCTTCCACACAATTGTTTTTAAATAATTATCAAACTAGACAAATAGTACTCAAGATGTTTAAAAAAAAAAAAAAATCAAAAAAGCAGTATTTTAACCTAAACTGCCCCTTAAAATCCCATTGCAATTGTAGAGAAACAACCCTGTGTGGGAAAACAGTTTTGGGGTTCATGTGGCTGCAATAGAAAGCTGCAGAAATACTCGAAAATGCAGCATTTATGTGACTCCCCCTCCTCTGTGCGTCACTGCAGGACTTGTGTGGCACCCCCTCCTCCTCTGTATGTCACTGCAGGACTTGTGTGGCACCCCCTCCTCCTCTGTATGCCACTGCAGGACTTGTGTGGCTCCCCTTCCTGCTCTGTATACGCTGCAGGACTTGTGTGGCTCCCCTTCCTGCTCTGTATACGCTGCAGGACTTGTGTGGCTCCCCCTCCTGCTCTCTATACGCTGCAGGACTTGTGTGGCTCCCCCTCTTGCTCTGTATACGCTGCAGGACTTGTGTGGCTCCCCCTCCTGCTCTGTGTATCAATGCAGGACTTGTGTGGCTCCCCCTCTTGCTCTGTATACGCTGCAGGACTTGTGTGGCTCCCCCTCCTGCTCTGTGTATCAATGCAGGACTTGTGTGGCTTCCCTTCCTCTGTATGTCACGGCAGCACAGGACATTGGTTCAGGGGAACATTTATCTACAGACTGCAGAAGAAGTTAAATGCATCAAATATATTAGCAAAAGTACTTACAAAGCTAAATATGAACAAACAGCCCGAGCTCTTTCTGGAAGATTGGATAAGTCAAGTCCATCAATATTCCAAGTGACAAAGATAAAGTGGCTTTCATCCTTCTGGCTCACTGTGGTGTGCTTACTTGCATCAGGGTTTTGTGTGACAACTGGCTCATCACTGGTAAGATCTATGCTGGAATAAGAAACAAATCACATCAGTTTTTTCTATTACACCAACATATGCCACTTCAAAAAGGAAAATGTGCCAAAAGGATTTCAAACTACCACGGCAAACTTTCTGAAAATGCTAGTTGCATGGCTGCCATGCTGAAGCAATAAATGCACATAAGGAATCTAGACATTGCTCTGCATGCTTGTTCTGGTTCAGTAACTTGAAGCATTGTAGCCAGAGATGCATGCAACTACCATGGAACTACACAGGTATCTGACACTTGAAGCGTAGAATGCTAAAAATACTGCGAGAGGCCAAAGCTCTGCAAGAGCAACAGGCAACATGTCAGCAAGGTATCGGTTTATAGCAGGGGCGTCCACAATTTTTCGTCTGGAGATCTACTTTTCAAATGACGAGCTCAATGAGATCTACCAACAAAAAAACACCTGCATTCAGGGGCAGGAGGGGGAGTGGCGGTGCCTTGAAGTCAATGGCATCGCAGGCAGGCCCCTCCCCCACAGTACGATCGCCTGCACTCGGAACCCAGGCACATTAGTGCCTGCGTTCCAGTCCAGTGCGATACGCAAAAGCTCGTGTGGCCGACGTTGCACATGGGGTGTCCTGCACCTTTCCATCTGCAGCGTCTGACACATTCAGCCGGCAGCGGCAGGAGCACCACGGGAGCATAGCCAGCTCCTTTTGCGCCTGAGGCAAGGAAAAAAAACTAAGTTTTTTTTAATTGATTTTTTACTATTTTTTTATTTTTATTTTCATTATTTATTTATTTTTATTTTAAATTTTCATAATTTTTTTTTTTCTTTTTACTCTTGGGGGGGCTTTGGGGAAATATTAGGGATCTAAACCGCCCCCTGATTTCCTTTAAAATAGAAAAATTGAGGACACAGAGTCCTCAATCTCTTTTTCTGCAGCCTCTGTTCTAAATGAATGGAAAGCACAGAGGCTTCCAGTTCATTCAGAATATATTTTACTATCATCCAGTTTCTGAATGGGGAGGAGCCTCTGTACAGAGTGCTTCTCCGCATTCAGAAACTCATGAATGAACAGGAAGTGACGGAGCCGCTGTCACAGAACTAAGGCCGAGCGGTGAGGGGAGAGAGGCGCCGGCTATCAGAACCTGGCCGAGTGTGTCTCTCTCGGCCTTAGTTCTGTGACAGCCGCTGCAGCGGTTCCATCACTTCTTCTCGGATCCCCGCTGCATACAGATGGGGAGAGCAGCGGGGATCCAGAGAAATCCCAGGGGCGGGAGGAGAGGACATTGCGATCTACCAGTGATCGCTACGCGATCGACTGGTAGATCGCGATTGACCTTATAGGCACCCCTGGTTTATAGTGTTACATACAGCTTTTAGGATGACATAACCTAGAACCTTACCAGCAATCTGGAGCAGTTACAGGCATTTGTTGTCCTCCAGATGTGGATTCTTCACTTGGATTTCCCTCCTGTGTTCCCCCGCTTGGATTTCCCTCCTGTATGAGGCTCTCCACGCTGGGTTCAAAGTATGAGTTGATGGCTCTCTACAATAAAAAAAATACACAATACATTTTACCTGATTTTTATATACAGTAGTTACTATTAATCTGATGATGCCGAGGCTCTGAACCTTCTCTCAACCTTTTATAACCATGGATTGATTACATGATTTTCGGATGAGGTGCCAACAAGGCCATCCAAGGCTCAAATTCTGTCTGATTTAAAAGTAATTGGCCATAATTTGAGCCTTGTGTGGCCAGCTTAAACTGAAGTTAGGCTTTAAAGCGGACCTTTATACTCAAAAATCCAATTCTGCCAATGCATCCCTCTATGTATGATGATTAATAATAACAGACATGTCAGGTGTAAAAGCAATGCACACTGGGATTGCCTTGTCATCCGCAGAGCATTGCTGGGAAATCTCATCTGTAATCTCACAAGATCTCAGGGAAAGGCATTTCCCTCCCCTGAGATGATGTGCATGGTGCTAGTCACATGTCCCAGAAATCCAGGAAGTAAAAGGAGAGCTAGTAATCTGCCCTCAGTAAACATGGCCACTGCCAGAAGACTGGAAAGAAAAGAGAAACAGACCGATCAGAGATCTGTTTCGCCGGACTGGATTAAGGGTATCCTGAAGAAACGGGCACACGACCATTTACATCAGATTCCCCATAGACTGAAATAGGGTTGGGCAGTTTACGTTTTTTTTTCCTCCCTCGCAAGGTGAAGGAAAAAAACTGTATGGACACAGATGTAACAGCGGTGACATCTGCTTTGTACTGCTGTGGTCAGGAGAGAATCCATGCATGGATCCCCTCCTGATCAGCCCGTGTGAAAGGAGTATAATCTATATGGTTAGCTTACCAAAACCCTGTCCATTGGGTAACAATACTGCATACGATTTCACCCTGTTAAAGTGGAACACATCTACTGGCAGGATCAACCAGTACTAAAGTGTTACAGAAAGATGTAAAAAACCTAGACTGTTGTGCTAATACTACTGACAGACAGCATCATAAATGTCATTTTATCTATAGTAAGAAATTGCCTGTTTTAGAGCTGAAGCGAAAACCTTCATCTTTTGGATAAAAGTTCAAAACCTAAATAAAAAAATTGTCAGACAGAGACCAAAAGTGTTTTTTTTTTCTACCTTTTTCAATTGTTTTAAAATATTTTATTTTTTATAAACTTTTTATTTTTTTTATTAAATATTGTTATTTTTTACTTTACTTTTAGGGGCTTCTGTGAAATATTAGGGGTCTAAACAGACCCGATATTTCATTTTTAAAATAGAAAGATTGAGAACACAGAGTCCTCAATCTCTTTCTCTGCAGCCCCTGTTATAAATGAACAGGAATCCTCTATGTGTGTTACTGTTCATTCATAACATGAGGACATGGTATGTTTACTATATCCACAACTATGAATAAACAGGAGGTGATGTAGATCACTTCCCATTCATTCATAATTGAGGATATAGTAACCATACCATGTCCTCAATTGTGTACAAACACTCAGCGATCACTGATTGCTTGCACTTCGCTCTGCATCCTACATTTGCTGTCACAAGAGGCTGAGCGAGAGGAGCAGGGAGGAGACCTCCATCTGACAGCCGACTCCTTCCCCACACTGCCGGCCGGCCTCCTGTGACAGCTGTCACCGCCAACGCACCACTGCTCTCATCTGACAGTAAATATCGGTGCAGCCCTAGCTGTAGCCGTCAGCTTTGTTTTGCCATCTGTGTCTCATTGGGGAGATTTCCCTCCATTTCCTGCCTGAAAGCCACAACAGGAAGTGAGTGGAAATCCCTTCAAAGCGAGGGAAATCCCATGGCGGTCAGCAGGGTCAACAGAACTAGTGTCCCCATTGGAAGGTTTACCATCTATTCTTGTTCTGATGACAACCTTTTTTTCTTTTACATTCAAAGGTAACATCACTGGGATGAATAGGGAGAGTGAATCTCCCTAATAGAGTGACAGACAGCAATACAAAACCTGACCGCTGTTCTCATCCCTCTCCACTATACAAAACTAAAAAATGTTTTGGCTTCAGTTGCACTTGAAATGTTCTTATAAGCTTGTGTGTAACACAGGAGTCCGGTGCAGTGACTTATAGGCCTCATTCACACTGGCACTCCTGAGTTTAACTACTTAGAAGTTATCTGAGAAGTATAAACACGGTGAATGATCCCATTGACTATTAATGACGTGCGTTTAGAAGTGTATGAGGGCTTGTTCACGCGATGTCCGGGCCAGAGCTGGTGCGGATCTGCAGACGCGGTGCTATGCGTTTTTGACGCGTTCCAGTAGGAATTTTTTTTTTTTGCTGGAGTGGGGCTGTCAGTATGTTAGCTGCAGTGCGTTTTTTGTTTCCGGACCGTATCCTAACCGGACAAAATGTGACATGCAGTATTTTTTCTGTCCGGACCTGAACAGCGCACGTGAGAACTGTAGCCCATAAAACACAGGGATACATTTTTAGTGCATCAGCGCACGGATCTGGTCAGGACAGAATCCGGAACGTCGTGTGAACAAGCCCTAAAAGCAGAGGTCGTGGTTCAGGTGCTCAGCCGATACGAGAGCCGAGTTAGGCTAGGCTCACACCTAGCGCGCGGCTACATCGCCTATCTCGCAAAACACAGATTCCCCTCGAAGTTAATGGGGCCTGTTTACACCTTTGCGTTGCACAGCCGAAATCGTCTGTCACGCAAAAAGGTGCAGAAGCTATTTTGACGCGGTTTGGAGATAATAAAGAGATGTCACCAGCACACCAGACTCTTTCAATGATACTCAAACGTGGATTTATTCAGAACTTATGTCAAATACACAAGCGCTTTTGGGACCACGTAGGGTCCCTTCATCAGGCATAGCAGTGATGAAGGGACCCTGTGTGGTCCTGAAAGCGCTTGTGTATTTGACTATCCTTGGAGTCTGGTGTGCTGGTGACATCTCTTTATTATCTGCAACTGGCAGCGCCATCCGCGGTCATTCCAAGCACCCTTCCCCATATTTGGGACTATCCGGTAAGGAGTGCAACAAACCTTCTTCATGTCATGCGGTTTGGGTCCCATGGACATCTCTATGCATTGAAAAATGCGTGGTTTTCAAAGCAAAAATCGCACAAACAAAAACACGCGACAACCGTGCAAAAACAGCTCACCAGCGCAATCGCCCAGGTGTGAACCTAGCCTTAGCAAACAGCCGCTGAATGCTGCGCTGCAAGTCAGCGCTCAGCACTGCTCACTTTGCACTCGCTGCGAATGTGGATGCAGAGTGCTCAGTGTGATGGAGAAGGTGGCGAAAGAGCACCAGCGGCCATTTTAACTATGGGCACACCTGGCAGCGCTGGAGAAAGGTGCCTGAAACCAGATTGAGGAAATCAATTCAGTGTTGGAACCCACAATTTTATGTTTTGGTGGATGAGCACCCCCCAAATATTCATCGGAAAATTGTATTTATTGGTCAAAAATATTATCCTCCACCATTTTGCTTAGCACTGTACAGCCGAAGTGTTCGGTTAAGCTGCTGCAGCGAACTGAAGTGCCGCAGAACAGCTACTCAGCTTGGCTAAGGAACTGAACGCGCCTCAGGTTTGACACTGCCAGTGTGAATGAGGCCTATGGTGAGGCAATCTTTGTGTTAGTTTTGGAAAGAGTATGAGAGAGTTCAGAGGAACTTTACCCTCACCTTTGAAACAACAACAAACACACCTTTGGAAGTGTTTAGTAATGACAATCTACAGATAAGTCTAGATAATTGCAGGTTTTGTATTCTTTACAGACCTTATTTCTCTTTTCTTCACATTCTTCTGACAGTGGCCATTTTTACTAAGGGCAGGTTACTAGAGATACCTTTACTTCCTGTAACTCTGGCTCATGTGACTAGGACATGTGACCATGCAGATCATCTCCAGGGAAAAAATGCCTTTCCCTGAGAAATCTCATGAGATTTGTCTGCAATGCTCTGCTGATGTAACCTTCCCAGAATGCATCTCGGGCACAGGCTACATCACTAATGCCGAAGAGGACCAGGAAGTGGAAAAGTAAAAAAACAATATGGTGATTTAACTAATAAATGTAAGGATTCATATCAGCATGCAGAGCTAAATGGTGATGTGATTTTATGTGAAAGGGGGTAAGGTCCACTGTGACACCTCTCCATGATGTATCTCTACTTAAAGGAGAACTATGGGGTCAGGGTTTTCCCCATAGTTCTCCTAAGGGTAACAGGAGGACACAAAGTAGCGTCCTCCTGTCACCCTAAGCTCAGTATACCGCGAGCTACAGCTCGCGGTATACTGAGACGCCGCAGCCGGATCCCGACATTACTGTCGAGATCCACCCAGCTGCGTGAGTGACAGCTGGCTCTGCTATCTAGAGACAGCTGTGCCCGCCCCTTCCCCCGTTCGTTCCTCCAGTCAGCGCTGGACGATTGGACAGGGGGGGGATCTGAGTGACAGTCACCGCTCTCTGCAGGGATACATGGAGAAGTGAGCGAGCGACGCTTTGTGTTCGCTCACTTCCCGATCCATTGAGCCGACCTGTGACAGTTTAATTGTCACATGTCGGCTCGAACTATGAGGATGAGTGATTTTCACTAACCTCATAGTTCTCCTTTAATTTCCTGTTGTGTCCCCAGTATAGGAAGTAAAAGAAAATCTCCCTAGAGTGAGACAAGCTGCTATAAAAAAAAAACACCTGATCATAGATTTAACCCTTGCTTAGTCTATCAAAATAAGGTTTCAGCTTTAGATAACCTTACATTCATTTGGTCTCATAGCGCAAGCACACGCCTTATGACTAGCTAAACCTAATGACCCGCAATCACTACTGACACTAATCTCCATTTTTTATACATCGAGAAAACAGACTTTACAGTGAATTCATCAAAACTGGAGCAGACAACATCTGGAGCAGCTGTGCATGGCAACCAATTAGCTTCTCTCTTTCAAATCTTAACTGAACAAACTGAAGAGAGAAGCTGATGGGTTGCCATGGGCAACTGCTCCAGATTTGATAAATCCCGCCTTTGTATTTAACCCCTTCCCTCCCTAAAGAACACAGCCATACTTCCAGCTCCCAGTCATTCTCCGCCAGATAGCACTGAGCCACAGCCTGGTCGCAGCCCGCTACGCTGGCAAACGCTTGACACTTCTGTTCCCGTTCACTGATCACAGCACCGTCTTCTGACACTAGCTCATCAGCCCGCTCCTCTTCCATGCCGTCCAAACACCGACTTCAGGCCACGCCCACTCCGGGTGGCATATCCTCACGCCACGCCCACTCCGGGCGGGAGAATCTCTCTTCCGAAGTTTGCTTTACCCGCGAGCACCACGCTGCCCAATCCTAAGCGTCACACCGCACATAAGCTTGATGATTAGCGGAGAACACAAAGACGTCTACCTTTCCCAACCAACAGCGACGCAGCTGCCAGTTTCCGAGTTAGGACACGTGATTTGTGTACTCCGGAAGTGTAAAAATGTATATGCAGAGTTGGCCGCTGACAATTTACCTTCTGCCGGTTGATAGACAGTGTTACCTCAGCACCGCTCCTCTCGTTATCTCTACTACGAGTAACACCCACTCGTATTTATAAAGTTTGGAGGCGGGGTTTGGGCGGAGTCTTGTCGCCAGCTCCTTCACTTTGCAGAGGTGACCTGCTGTCACTTTGTGTCTAACAGTCATGGGCTCCATGGGTTTGAATGCATTGAGGACGATTATGAAAGGGTTAAGTGAAGGCCCCGGCTTTGACAGAGTGCTGAATAAGGTATGACGATTTGCGTTGGTGGTTATTATATATACCATACGATCTGAGCGTTGTACAATCTGTCCAGTCTTCTTTGGATGTGTGGGTGATACGAGGACAAGCCTAAGCAATCCATTTAAAGTGACACTAAACTCAGGTAAATCTTAAAGATGCATTCAATACTTTACTTTACTTTTGCATCTCTCGGCTGTAGATCCCTAGGTCATCTCTGAATTGGTGCTGACACTGTCCTTCCTTCTGGAGGGTGGCTACTTTTGTTCCCCATGGTCCCTGTGTGTGTTGTAAAGTAGTCACCACTCCAAGCTCGCTCCTGTGATGGACTATTACACTATTTCATGTTTAGTGTACTAATTTGTATTGAGATTATAGTCCATCAAAGGAGAGAGCTTGGAGTGGTGACTACTTTACAACACGTAAGGACATGGGGAACAAAAGTAGTCACCCTCCAGAAGGAAGGGCAGTGTCAGTATGATTTGAGAGTCTACAGCTGAGTGGTACACAAATAAGATACATTTTTGTTAATAGTTAAGGTACTTAAATGTATTTTTAATATTTAACTCCTGAGTTTAGTGTCACTTTAATTTCTATCCAGTTGCGCACAGCCTAACACTGCATAGTTGTTTGTAGACCTAAAGAGATTGTGCAATCAGATCGTATAGTGCAGTGGTGGCGAACCTTGGCACTCCAGCTGTTTTGGAACTACAAGTCCCATGAGTCATTGCAAGGCTCTGACAGCCACAGACATAACTCCCAGAGGCAGATGCATGTTGGGATTTGTAGTTTTGGAACAGCTGGAGTGCCAAGGTTCGCCACCACTGGTATAGTGTATCTGGTCAGCTTTAACCATACGTAGGGCTAATGTAAAAAAAAAAAGAAAAATGAGCAGAGGACAATAGGATGTATTCTCTGAATAGAAGTCTTCCTCAATAGACACCCCTCTAAGGAATTGCCGCTACAAAGCAACCCCATCTCTCCTCAAAATCTCTGCGACATGGATATGTGGTTTAGATGACGACACCTTCTTACGGATGGTTTTGTGTGTGTTAAAACCTCATTCTATAACCTATAACCCATCCTGCAAGGTTTTTTTGGTTCTTACCTGCTGAAGCAAGTTAAACTTGCCTATGTCCCTTGCCACCACCATTTCTGTGTGCAGAGGACTGCGAATTCAGTGCTGCAAAGTCCCCCAATACTGCGGGTCCTCTACTGCCATCCCATGATGATGTCTGCTCTTCTGGATGCTGGTAGAACCTTGCCACTGGCTAACCAATAGGAAGTGTCCACATCACGCAGGCAGTGGTGTGGACACCTGAAGAGGGACCCCACCAGATGTAAACAAAGGAGAGAAGACTTGGTACTGAAGGATCATGTGACCGCGTCTTTAGCTAAATAGAATGGGCATTTAGATATTTGCTCCGGTGATCAGTTAGAGGGGATTGAAATGATCTTGGAGATGGGCTTTAACAAATCCATTTATAGTAATCTACTGTCAGGCAAGTATATTGGTGAATCCGCAGTGGCCTCCCCTAACCTAAGGGAGGGGACATCCAAAATTTAGATTTTTTTTACAGAACAGAAATATTGCGCAAATCCAATGAGGGCATCTGGTATGATGAAGGACTAGGAATGCACTGATACCGGTACTAGTATCGGTATGGGTGCTGATACTGAGTATTTGGGGGAGTACTCCTACTTGTCCAAGTACTCTGATACTTACCCCCGATACTGGAAATTCCGGTCAGAGAAAGATTTCCACTGACCGGAAGTGCTGTGAAGGGACATAGAGCTGCCTTTCTGCCAATCAGGTAACTCGGTGGTGTGAAATGATTTGCTGTCCGGCTTCCTGATTGGCCGGGAAGCCAGCTCTGTGCTGATTGGCTGGGAAGCTGGCTTTCCAGCCAATCAGCATCGAGCCAGCTTCATGGCCAATCAGAAAGCCAGGCGGCGGGTAATGACCTGCGTCCTGGCTTCCTGATTGGCTAGGAAGCCGGCTTCCCGGCCAATCAACATCGAGCCAGCCAAACAGCAGCCTCAATGCTAATTGGCTGGGAAGCCGGCTTCCTGGCCAATCAGCATAGAGCTGGCTTCCCAGGCAATCAAGAAACCGGACGGCCATCCAGCTTCCTGATTGCCCGAGAAGCCAGCTCAATGCTAGTGGAAGTACCGGTATCGGTACTCAGTATCCGCGAGTACCGGAAGTGGGCGCTTGTAATATGAATGGGGTAGCCTGATGTGAAAGGAAAGGACTCTTAATGGGAAAGGGTACACTGATGAAAAAGGGGGCTCCGTCGTGAAACAGGGAATCCTGATGTGCAGGGGGGATACTGATGTGAAAGGGACAACCACATTTTCCTGTTTTTGCATGGGGTACCCCCTTAAAGATAAGATAAGGCTCTGGTAAAGATTCCGGAGGAGCCACATGCAATTTTTACATTTTAAACCGAGGTGCCTTGAGATTTGCATACTTTTAAAGGGTACCATGACTGCAAAAAACGGTTGAGAAACTCTGTCCTCGAGTACCCTCTAGCATTATAACGTGAAACAATCACCAGTTTAGATCAACTATGTTAATGTTCAGTAATGAAAAATGTGATCTAGTTAGTGCCTTCACTGAAGGATTATTTCCCAACTACAGTCACTATCCACTGCTGCCAGTTACAAGGCACTCTTCCCTCAGAGCTCTTCCTCTAATTCAGTGGTTCTCAACCTGTGGGTCGGGACCCCCTCGGGGGTCGAATGACGATTTGCCAGGAGTCGCCTAGTGGCTCTCGGCCGCCGGGAGAGAAACACTTTCTCCCGGAAAGGTCGGGACCTTTCTCTGCTGTTTTTTTTTTTTTAAATCTGGGGCCGCCGTAAGTCAGAAAAAAAAAACAACCCATCATAGGAATGCATAGCTAGATTCCTATTGGCTATTTCACTGTGCAAAAGCCTATAGCAAACTAGCTATTGCGCCCGCCCTCTACTGCTGCCAATCAGCAGAGGGGGACCTGAAGTTCTCCATCATGTCCCCTTTTAGTGATTGACAGCAGCAGAGGGCGGGTGCAATATGTATGTATTCAAGCAAAAAAATATGTAAAACACACCTCTTGCTATGCATTCCATTTTCCCGGTCCGCAGCTGCAGAGATCGGGAAATGTCTCAGTGCCTGTGATTGGCACTGCGCACTGTCAGCTTCCTGGCGGGCTCGGCGCGTGGAGCTGCGAACACGCCCGAGCCCATCCCTATCAGTGACAGTACTGCGGAGTATGTACAGTACCTCATACGTTATATAGCCACACACTTTAAATCCAATTCTTCTAGTTCCAGCTGCAAAGCCCGGTCCTGTCTTTGCCTATAGCAGTGGTTCTCAACCTGTGGGTCACTGTGCAAGGTGAGAGTCCTCCTCAGCTCTCTCCTAGCGCAGCAGTGTCAGTTCTCCCGCCACCCCTCCAGATGTCGCTGCAGCAGCCGCGTCATCCCTAAATTTTATCTTTGGGGGTCACCACAACTTGGCAAATGTTACCAAGGGGTCCCGGCCCTAGAAAGGTTGAGAACCACTGCTCTAATTGCTTGTCTCCAGGGTAGTTTAATACCAACATACCACGATTGAACAAACCTTTCCACATCAAACAAGGCATATCAAATTATTCTTTGCTTGCCCATGATTTCAGCTGTTGACTGGCATAGACAGGCAAAGAGTGACTCGAGAAAGAATATGCCTAGAAAGAGTGGAATGATTTTCCTTTACCGCTCCAAGCTCACTCCTGTGATGGACTACAAACTCACTACAAATTAGTAAACTAAACATGAGATTGTAGTAGGGCTGCAACAACTAATCGACATAATCGATTATAATCGATGATTGAAAAAGTTGTCAACTTTTTCAATCATCGATTAATCGGCCTCTGATTAGTTGGCCCTGTTCACGGCTCCACACAAGCTGCGCGCCGCCACCTCTTCCCCACCTCACGCCCAGCAATACATTATACAGTGGTGCAATGCCGAATACCGCTAGCTATAGAGCAATAGTACATTATATAGCGCAATGCAGAATACCGTCAGCTATAATGTACTATTGCTGGGATTTGTTGTATTCCTCTATAGCTGGTGGTATTCTGCATTGTGCTGTATAATGTACTATTGCTAGGTTTTGGAGTCCTCTATAGCCAGTGCCATTCTGCATTCATTGCTGTATAATTTTACACTTTTAATTTCACTATATTGCACACCACACTTTCTTTTTTACTTCCACCTCTCCAAGCTTGCTCTTGTGATGGACTACAATCTCAATAAAAAAATAGTAGTCCCATCACTGGAGCCATTTTTTAAAATGTATTTTATTTTTTAACCGATCTTAATAATCGGCTAACTAATCGATTTTGAGAATAATCGTTAGCTGCAGCTCTAGATTGTAGTCCATCATGGGAGTGATCTTGGAGCGGTGGCTACTTTACAACATACAGGGACCATGGGGAACAAAAGTAGTCACCCTCCAGGAGGAAGAACAGTGTTAGCACCAATTCAGAGATGATTTGAGGATTTTGTTCTCCCTGACACTCCGGGTTATGAGCGGTCCCTCGGCATCCTTGCATACGATGCACGACTATCCTGAAGTCCTGCATTGTATGTGGAGGAGGCAAGTGTGCAACAGAGAGGAGGAGCGAGGAATCAGGTAAGTGTTGCTCCATATTCCTTTACCCCTAGAATTAACGCATTAACCCCTGCAGTGTGAGGGAGGATTTTTTTTTCCAGCTTGGAGTTCAGCTTTAAACTAACAAATGCACTATAGTTTTATAACTGTTTTAATTTTCCAGCTGCAACTTATATCTGCAAGTCCTGGAAAGCTGGTTTGTGAAATGAAAGTTGACGAGGATCACACAAACCGTGGTGGTACATTACATGGAGGCCTAACTGCTACCTTGGTTGATGTAGTTTCCACAGTTGCCCTGTTAAACACAGACAGAGGAGCTCCAGGTGTTAGTGTGGACATGAATATTACGTATGTATATGCTTTTGTCATTTCTTTTTTTAGATTTGATTTAAAAAATGTTATATTAATACAAAGACAACCCTATAAAAAAAAAAAAAACCACAAAAAATGAACATGTCATTTACAGCTCAAAACAGCCATTAACCATTCTGTCTCAACAAACAGCAAAGCAGGTTAAAGATCAGAGGTGCTCCGATAGCGGTTTTTCGATTTTTTTTCTTTCGGTACTTGCCAATACAGAGTACCGATACTGGTACTTCTAGCATGGAGCCGGCTTCCCAAGCAATCAGGAAGCCGAGCGGTGTGCCATTACCCGCCGCTCGACTTCTTGATTGCCCGGGAAGCTGCCTACATGCTCTTTGACCGGCTCGTTACTGATTGGCCAGGAAGCCGGCTTCCCAGCCAATCTGCATGGAGCCGGCTTCATGTCCCAGAATACAGATACGCGGGTCCAGAGTCAAGTCAGGGAAGTACCTATGACCCTATTACTGGTATCAATCGCCTCTGCCCAATATCTTTTTAGCTTAAGACACTGCCATAGCAGATGTATCAAACTGCTATGGGGTCAGTCGCATTTACCACAACCCTAAATGAGGACGAAGGCCAATGTTACAAAGAAACTTGGTGGTACAATACATTCGGTGTCGATTAAAAAGCTGTGCCATCCCACACGCACGCACTCCATGAGTGGTGTGCAGTACACAAAATAAGGCGCATGCCTTTTGATATGTGCGACAGCCCCACTACATTACATGCGACTACAGAGTATTAGTTGAGAGAGCATATGCATATCTACCCACTGCGCATGTTCTAAAGAAACGGAATGTGAATGCATACGATGGGACTAGGTGGATGACCGGACGTGTCTGTATTATGTTTCTCTGTGTTCTTGTATTTTTGTACTTTGTATATTGCAAAATTGAAATAAAATCGTATTATTTAAAAAAAAAGCTGTGCCATCCGATGAGAGGGCGATAGTGATGCTTGTAGAATGGCTCAAATCCTTCTCCCATTTTTGCTCACAGGGAAGCAGATATAAACACAGGAATTTATCCAGCAACTGGAAATAAATTGTAGACATGGGACTTAAATTGTAAAAAAAAAACTAATTTTTTTATTCCAGGTTTTTATATTATATATTTTTTTATTGGAGTATATTACTAGGAAGCAAACAGCTCCCGCAACGCATTTGTCTGGATTTTAGGTTTCAATCTTTTTGTTTTGTTCCCACGCCTTTAGGTCAGGTCAAAATGCTTTAGATGCTGTTTCCTGATCAAACCCTTATCTAGCTTTGATCAGTTATGTCTATAGATACTTTGAAGGATACCTATACTCACCACATGTCATATTAAATGCTATTGGCATGTTAGTGCAGGTACCAGGAGGTGCTTTTTGCTCTAGAATGCAGTTAGTGACTTCTCATTTGTTCTTTGATCTTACTCCTTCCTACCTCTGGTGGTGGGTTTCTATTGGTCAATGTTGAAGCCCATCGCATTAATGTACCAGTAGTGAAGGGAGAGGATGCATCCAAGTGCCAATGATAAAGACCATGTTTGCATGTCTCAGATCTATGGATTTCGGTTCTGTTGGATAACAGAAGGTATGTGCATGAACCATTGGGTACACATTACATGCTAATGCCAGCTTACATTGAATTCTGAGTACAGATTCACTTTCAAGAGAACTTTTGGGCTGCCCAAAAATGTAAACTGACACTTGACTTCAAAGAGCAGGCTCCTGTGGGACTCCGGAGACCCTGCCTCGCTTGCTTCCTACAGATATAAAGAACTAAATATCTGCTTCAGCCATGAGATGGTGCTGTGCCTATAGCAAGCATATGATCTTCAGAAGCATTTGGAAAAAATGAAATGTTCTAGAGATGCTGGAATTCAGTTCTACTTGCTTCATTTCCCCAGCAAGAAACACTGACTTGTGTTGAAAATGTATTATTAGTTGTCCAGTTAGGAGAGGTAGTTTCTATGTAGAGAACTTGGGCAGCAGGTACAGAACATTTCTACTACAACATATTTCCACATGTTCCCAGCATATTCATGCAATGCAAAAATGTAGTACATCCCACACACAAGTCTGTATTAAAAGCTCTCTCTCTCTCTCTCTTTATTATATAAGCATGGCAGTAAAAAAAGCTTCCATTTCACTTAGCAACCTTTTGTAGCTTGATAAAGGGCTACACATGGTCCAAAACATACCTACGAAATAAAGCGAAAGAGCTTTAAATACAGACCAAGACCTTTGTGCGTGTGTACAACATACTGTATTTGCAAGCTTAAAGTTCCTCCAAGTTGTCAAAGGAGGTTTCATCCTGGCACCAGGCAGTGGAAAAGATGTGTGCTCCTGAAGTACAAGTCCTATTTATGCAATACATTGCTTTTTATTGTATCTAGAGCTGTTCTTTAATACAACCATCTACAACTCTGCCCCAGCTACATCAACAGCCTTGTCTCAAAATATCACCCCAGCCGTTCACTCCGCTCCTCCAAAGACCTCCTGCTCTCTAGTTCCCTGAACACTTTCTCCATGCTCACCTCCAGGACTTCTCCAGAACCTCTCCCATCCTCTGGAACACTCTACCCCAACCTATGTGGATTTCTCCTGCTCTATCTGCCTTCAGACGATCCCTGAAAACTCATCACACCTCTACCTAACTACTTAAACTTTACCTTCTCAATGAAATCCTCCCCACACAGTTATTACCTTTTGTATCACTTTGCCTTCCCTTTAAATTGTAAACTCTCCTGAGCAGAGCCCTCTTAACCTTTTTATCCTGAAGTGTATTATAACTGTACTGTCTCCCTGTATATTGTAAAGTGCTGTACAAACTGTTGGCGTTATATAAATCCTGTATAATAATAGTAGATAGGCCCCGAAGTCTAAGGTCTGAATGATCAATTGTGAAGATATTCATAACACCTAATCCATACTTAATCACATACAATTGTCATGGTATATTTTAGGTACTGTACTGATGTACCTACAGCTAATAGGAATCTTATATTTTTGTTTTTAAGGTATATGAATGCTGCTAAAATTGGGGAATCGGTACTCATCACCGCACAGATTCTGAAGCAAGGAAGAAGCTTGGCCTTTGCAACTGTAGATTTAGTAAATAAAGAAACTGGAAAAATAATAGCACAAGGAAGACATACAAAACATCTAGGGCAATAGAAGTTTAATGGAGTAATATGTTTGTGCTTTGATGGAAGATTTTGTAACCTTTCTAAGTTAGGGGATAGGAATTACTACTAAGAGTAGCATGCATGTCTGTGGACTGAATAAAAAGCCTTTGATCAAAACGTACAACTGGCTCAATGCATTTATTCAGATAGCTAATTAGCCATTAGGATTTTTGATGCACATAACTGGCTGTTAGTTTACATTTAATTATGAAATAAGTGTAACACATTTATCACTTACAAAAATCCAAAATAGTATAATTTCATGGACAAAATGACCAAAGGTTTCGGACAGAAAATGAAATTTCGAGCCTTGCTATTGGCTGTGACCTTACTTTTGTTCACAATGTATTTTTTCCAGTTTTACTAAATCAACTACCAAGTCTGAAAAGTTATACAATTAAATGAATATGGTAGTATTTAACATAAAAACGTAGTGCTAAAGGAATACAATTAAAGCCGTTTTTATAGGTGTGTGTGTGTGTGTGTGTGTGTTAAATAGATATTGAAATGCAAAAATAGCTTGGTTATGATATAAATGACCATTTTGGTCTTCATCAACCTGAATGAAACTAGATACTTGCGAGCTTATTTTAAGACTACGGAGGCACATACCGTTATTTATTTTTCCAGTACTCGCCAATACCGATACCAGAAGTCCCATGAAGGAAGCCGAGCAGCTTGTAATGCCTTGCCGCCTGGCTTCCTGGTGAGCCGGGAAGCCATCTCCATGCTCTCTCGTCATCAGGTAGCGAGGAAGCATGGAGTCAGCTCATGGCCAATCAGGAAGCCGGGGGGCGGGTAATGATTTGCCGCCCGGCTTCCTGATTGGCTAGCTTCCCGACCAATCAAGAAGCCAGGCAGCAAGTCATTACACGCCGCCCAGCTTCCTGATTGGCCGGGAAGCCAGCTCCCTGGTGATGAGCAAGCGTTGAGCCAGCTTCTCGGCTAATCAGGAAGAAGCCGGGAGTCGTGTAATGACTTGCTGCCCGGCTTCCTGATATTGGAAGTTCCGGTATCTGGAGCATTTGGGTGAGTACGAGTACTCGGCCAAATGCTCGATATTGGCACTGATACTAATATTGGTATCGGTGCATCCCTAGTTAAGACAATCTGCCTATCAGCTTGAATAAGAGCAGCATGTACAGCAAGCATTTCTAAGCTTTTATCAAGCTCCTGCATGACCTCTTACTGTATATCAGATACAGGAAGTGAAAGGAAATCTCCCCGACGGGACACATAGAGCGAAAAAGGGATTCTAACCATTCTATACTGGTACCTTTTAAAAGCTTGCCAAAAAAGTGAATCAACAACAGCTACACGTTGGACAGAATTAGAATAGTTCTTAGTTTCACACTGAAAGGATGCAGCAATCATCAGCTGAATGAAGCTGCAATTGTAAATGTAAACAATGAGTAAGCCTGAAAAAGCTTTCTTGCGCAATGCTAAAATCCTGCAAAGTTAACCCCCCAACTTCTCTACAATAATAATCAATAGGTATTTGCACAGATTGTATCCCCCCAGTATAGATTCCACAATGCCTGCTGCCCTGTCATGGTTTCTCTGCATGCAGCTTGGCATGTGTGCCAGTGTGAGGGCACGGATCTGCTATATAAAAAATATGGTTAGCCCTGATAGCTTGCTGGGTGGACTGCTTTTACTCTCTTTGGCAGATCCCCATCCTCACCTTAGCACAAGACAGGCTGTGAATACCAAACAATCGACGGAGAAGAGGCTGCAGCAGACCTAGAAAGGAGTAGAGTTACCTATAAGTCTTATAGTGACAAAGGAGAGGGGTGTTGTAAGCTTTTGCTTAAAACTTGACAACAGCTAAGGGCTCACGGACAAGGGTGCCTAGGGCTGTGCAACATTAAATTTGGGTCTATTTCCCTGACCAGAAGTCACAGGTGCAACATACAGCCACCCATAGATATTAATGGCTGTATGCAGGTGTATGCCAGACATGCATGCTCACGGATCTAAAACCCAAAGGTAGATTGCACTGGAGGTTGTACATCTGTGCACATGCACGTGTTTATGCAACTACAGGAGCATATCCGCATACAGGTATGGATCCCTATGGGCAGCTGTAAAGATCCCAGGGGGGGAAATGCACTCAAATTTCACATTGCACAGCGCCCTAATCATTTTTATTATTTCCACCAGGCATACCACCTGAGACCCAGACTATGCAGACAGTATGGCAACTTGCTGACTCAACTAGATCCACAGGTAGTTTCAACTTACCAAGAAGACTCAGAGTGATTGTAGTTTATTCCTGCTTGGCATATTACAGAGGATGTGCTCTGGGAATTCTTAGCAGTGAAAAAGCATTTCAGGATCATAACTCTTCTGACTCTCCAAAGCAGGGGTGTCAAACTCAATTTAATCGTGGGCCGCATCAGCATTATGGCTGCCCTCAAAGGGCCTGTAAGACTATATAAATGTATCTACGGTAATCTTTATCATAATTGCCCCTGCATTCGATTATCACTGATTTTACTAATAACTTAATACCTAGATCTGAAAGTAGAAGTCTAGGAAATGGCGTGGTGGGCCGGATTCGGCCCCTGGGCCTTGAGTTTGACACATGTGCTCTAAAGGGGCCTCTTCACACATCAAAAGTTAAAAGTAACTAGTGTAATATGCTAATGATATGGAGGACGGAACTCGGCTGCGGAGTCACGTTTAATCTCACGTGCTCTGGCCAAGGAGTACGCGATGGCAAGTAAATACTGGCCAAACAATCTCAGTGCATCATAGTACCGCCTCCTAGTACTACTCTGACTACACTTTAAGAAATATAAGTAGAACAAAAGAAAGACTCAGGTCTCTGCTATACGTTTGCTATGGTTCCCAATTAGGCAGTTCAATATGTTAATTGCACATATATCTGTGTATGGTGAAATATATGGGAGCAGTATTGATTGAGGTAGGATAGTGTTTGATATGTTACGTCACATACAAGAAGATGAGCAGGTTACTTCTATGGAATCAATTGAATACAGCACTCATTGATATAAGATATCACTTCACATCAAGCATGTTGGGGAAACACAGTATGTGTTTCTCTTAGGGTAATCCGTGTGTGTCCAGCAGGTGGCGACAGAGTACGCCCATTCAGTATAGACAGTTCAATCCACGTAATGTAGGCAATACATTGTAACCCCAATGGCCAGCTGAGCCAGACGGGTGAATATTTGCTGTTAGGTGGTTTCCAAAGGGAAGCTGTAATGTTGTAGCGAGATAGGCGGTCTGTGGAGGGCTTTGGGAACCCTTGTCAGGCAGGTTGGATCCGCGGGATAGAAGTGGCGGTGTGAGGCATACGTCAGGCCTTCACCCCGGGTTTGTTGGAACGCCAGACTTTTGTGGGGCCGCTGCTTATGACACGGCGGGGGGAGTTCTCGAGCGGAGCTACCGCTCGAGTCCGTGACGCTGGCCGGGTCTGCGGGAGATGTTACAACTAGCTTGGGGAAGCTCAGAATGTCTAACAGGCAGGTCTAAATAGCACACAATCAGAGGGCACCACATACAACATGAAATAATAAACAGACTGCTGTGTGATATTTATGGTGCCACCGGGAATAGGAAGTGAAATCTCCCTAGTGGGAATACAGATAGCAGTAAATACCTGACAAAAGGTTCTAACCCTTCTCCAGAGGTGCGTGCCTACATTATCCCTCACTTCCTGGGAATGGATACGAAGCTTGGTCGAGGCTGGAGGGTTGGGAGGCGGCAGAGCCCGTGGTGTTGTGCCCCCTGGGGGTGGCGTCCCAGGGGTGCTCAGAAAGTCACTTGGGTGTGGGAACCCACATGACTCACTGTGCACTTGATCACACACCACCTTGCAATTTCTGCTCTTGGACAGGCCTTATGGCTAGTCCGGGGCAATTTTATAGCACCCGGCCCCTAGGGCCTGTCAGCGTGGTGCACTGGCACTATTCCTTTATTTATTGCACCTCATGCACGATTGGCACATTTTTGTGTTTTTAAATTTGACCCACAGAGTGCTAGGGTGAAGGTACCTTCGGGGCCTATTCCCGATGCAGGGGAGGAGGTTCTGTGCCCTAATATAGGGTTCTCTGCCTCCTCCCGAACCAGGGAGTCTCTCTTCGGGAGAGCTCCCTACCTAGTACTTGGTGGGACCTGTTTCGGCAGGTCCCCAAAGGATCGGGGTCCGCCAGTCTCCGGGCTGGTGGACCAAAGTATCTCAACCCCTGTCAGGAGCCTTGCGCCCCGGGGGTTCGGGAATTCGAGGTCCCTTCTTTATTGAAGGACCAAGCACCCTTGTGCACGTTTTTGTGTGCTGTGATTTCACGGTTCACTTTTTTTGTTCACTGGGGGAAGTTTGTTTTATGATGCACGTCCACGGGCTCTTAAAATTATTTTTTTTTTTAAATCCCTCACTTCCTGTGTCAGTGACATGGGACAGGAAGTGAGAGGAAAACAAACCAATTGTAACACATCTATTAGAATCATACAGAGATTATGTAACCTCTCCGATATACAGATGAAACTCGAATAATTAGAATATCGTGCAAAGTTCATTTATTTCACTAATGCAACTTAAAAGGTGAAACTAATATATGAGAGAGACTCATTACTTGCAAAGCAAGATAGTTCAAGCCGTGATTTGTCATAATTGTGATGATTATGGCTTACAGCTCATGAAAACCCCAAGAACCCCAAATCCACAATCTCAGAAAATGAGAATATTACATGCAATCAATAAAACAAGGTTTGTACATAGAACAATATCGGACCTCTGAAAAGTACAAGCATGCATATGTACTCAGTACTTGGTTTGGGCCCCTTTTGCAGCACTTACTGCAATTACTTTTGCACGATATTCTAATTATTCGAGTTTCACCTGTATCTGATGAAAAAAACAATGGGGGGAATTTATCAAAACTGGAGCAGTTAGAATCTGGAGCAGTTGCCCATGCCAACCAATCAGCTTCTTTCTTCAGCTTGCTCAGGTAGGATTTGAAAATGAGGCAGAGAAGCTGATTGAAGTGCAAATCTCCAGATTTTGTCTGCTCCAGTTTTGATAAATC